TTTTAACAGCTACACACCAGAAACAGTGCTGGTGACAACACATCTCCTTGTTTATCCTCAAATTGTTGTTATTGTTCTATATTCATCTACTTGAACACATGCAACTGATGTTCCAATACAGAAACTTAATTGCTTTGCATTGTTTGCATGGTATATGCAGCCACTACATAATTATTCCATCCACATGGGAAACACTCAAAAAACAGCTGTTACCTCTGAAATATGAAAAACTGAGGGGGAGCGAGGCCGATTGAGAGCAAAAGAGGGAACTGTATATTGTGGGCATGAGCTGATATAGATTTGGAGCTGCCAGTAAAACGGCTTAATGCAGAGCTCACTGTGGCTGGCAGCTTCACTTTGCCAAAAGGCCTTGGTCCTCCCCCACTCCTCACCTGTCCTCAGAGGTGACGAAATCAGATTATTACAACCACAAGGAGGATGCAGAGAATATTAAAGAGCAGAATATAAAGAGACAATGGAGGAGACAAAGCCAGCATGTGTTGAGAGAGCCAGACCGAGGTCAAAAAAATGACACTAGTCGCCACCAGTGGACATTAGCAAAAATGATTTGATTCTAGCTTATTATTTAGGAAATCATGATAGATATTTTTTCACTACTTTTAGACATTTTGTAGAGATCAATTAGCTGAGACAATAACACAGTAACAGATTAATCAATGCAGCCCTAGTAATTTTATCCATAACTATGGGAAATACATTTTTCTTTTTTTAAATCAATACTATCTAACTGAAATAGAATGACTATCAGGCAGCCAATAAATACATTAATTAATTAAAAAAGAACAACCATGCAAACACTCCACAGCTCCTTTTTCATCTAGTTTGTAATTGCACCTCTTTAGAGAAACAATAATGTGAACCAACTCACACCCTGTCTTACAGTGATTAGCGCCGCAGTATTAAAAGTGACTCAGTGCGAGCTACCGTTAGCAGGAGGGAGCTGGTCCTTGGCCCATTTATTACAATAATGGATTATAATTAGTGTTGCAACTGTTACCCCATAAAGGCCTGTCTAAACAGTGGTGGAAGTGAAACATCCACCACTCTGTAATTTTGTAACCTTCTGCTAGAAACATTTATCATTGTGCTTTGGTCCTCAGAGCCTGCACAGTGCCCATAAAAGCCACAGCATATCACTGGCAGAAGACATAGACCATAATCCAAAAGCAGCATTGACTGATAAACTGTATTTTATGGAAGCAAGACCAACTATAAGAAGAAAGGAATGTGCATGTAAACTATACCTGCATACATCCTCATTAAATACTGTATATACATATCCCCAAAGATAGAGCTTGTTGGGTAGAGAGAGCTAGAGAAAGTGTAATCCAGGCAGAAAAAGACAGTGAATCAATGCAACACCTGAAAGCCATTAGCAATCTAATGGTAAAACAGAGAAAAAGGGGGAGAAACAACCGTAACTGAGGACATACAATAAATGAGAAATGAAAGACAAATTCTCTGAAATCCAAGGAGAAAACATCAGAGTGATTCCACTGATATGAGCAGCTGCTGCTGTCTAAAGTCTCCGAGGTGAAGAGGTGACAGAGAGAGAGAGAGTGTGTGAAAGAAATGGACCCAGACAAAGCCACTGCCTCTGTGTGTACTTTTATGTTAAGCTTCAAGATGCAGGAGTGGGGACTGAGTAATGCAGCGACTAATATTGTACATAAGCCTGATCAGATGAGCTATGAATATTAACCTAAACAAAGTATTGGAATTACATTATCAGATTGCTTGGCACTTTTTCAAAACAACTGGGAACTAACGCGCATAAATTCAATTAGCATAAGTATTATATAAACACCATCCAGACTCTGGCCTTTTTTACATACAAACCACTGTCAACACATTATTGATATACCACACAACTGCAGAAACACTTTAATGCTTAGAAAACAGCAGTGAGAGAAATTATTATTACTCTCATAGTCACTGTGATAGCAGGAGATAATTTTATGATGTTATCATTGTGCTCGAAAATGACCATTTTCTAAGACTATGTGCAAAACTCTCTTTTCAGTGCGGCTGACTTAAAAATTGATGATACTCTCTCATCACTGTCATCAGTAACGACTTAATGACAACAGCTAATCTGAACTGCCAAATGCTTAGTCTGCCCTGCAGTATTTTAGCTCATATAGTGGCAACAATAACAAAAGTGACCTTCAAACTTATTTAAAGGAATAGTTTGACATTTTGGGAGATATACTTATTTGCTTTCTTTCAGAGTTACAGTAGATGAGAGAATTTATACCAGTCAATATGCTCAATATGAAGCAAAAGTAGGCAGGTGATTAGCTTAGCACAGATTGAAAAGTAGGGGAAACTAGCTAGCTTGGCTCAGTCCAAAGATGAAAAGAAATCCTCCTATTCTTTCAGCAATTTGCTCATTAACACAAAATTAAAATGCAAAAACTACAAGCTGTGGTTTTAAAGGAAATTTGTGCTTTAGCTATTCCTTGCCTCAGCTCAGTGACTTCCTGGAATCCTTTCATAACCGTGAGGTTCAAGTGTTAATTACTGAGCTTTAGAAGTGCAGGTATTTCTGAGATTTGGAGTGAGCTACACTAACTGTTCTCCACTGCTTCTTGTCTGTATGATAAGATTAGCTATTTGGCTTCTAGCTCCTGCTTCATAGTTAATGCTCATACATCAGAGTGATGAGAGCAGTATCAATTGCCTAAATGTAACTCTAGGCTAGAACTCAGATGCTCATATTTCCCAAAATAATTGTACATTGAGGAGGGCTGGCCAGGCTAACTTGAGAGATTAAGAAGGAAAGAGATGTCTTCCCTTTTGGTAATAACACAATTTGGCTGCCATCTGTTGCACCTCTCAGCCATCTGACAGAGAGGCAGGTCTCAGCCTAACAATCTGGTTGTATTGTATTGCCTTGAGTGAGCTGGAAGAGACTGAGTAAGGCAGGTACACAGTATCAGGACAATGAAAAGGTGCATGCCGTGTAAGCAAAGCAAATGACTCTTAAAAGCCCATGGAGAGCTGTAATATAAAGTACAGAATATAATGAGCTTGGCTTAAGTAGAAAGGAAATATACAGCAAGTCCTTTTATAACAGAACCAGTTGTTAGGGGCCTAATGCATTCATTTAGTCACAATTAATACGTCAACTCAACATGGTTTTCTGCAGGTTAAGAATGACATAATTTGTCCTGAACAGTGAGGTGATGGACAGGTTAAGTTATTATTTTACCTGGTGCTGACTAAGAGGAGTGGGCTGAAAAGTATTTTAGCTTGAGGCTGAACGTAATCAAAGCTAGTTTTACATTTTGGTACTCTATAATTTACAATCTGTAGCCAGAAGACGTGATTCATTTGACAAAATATTACCTATTACTGTACAATTAGAAGAGGTATATCAGTGCACTACCTCTACCCTGGCCTCTGCTTGAACAGTATGAAGCAGAGAACAAGCAGTTTGATGGCTTCAGCTGCTTTCTCTGATTCACTTGTAACTTAATACAGTACATGGATGCAATGCTCGTTCCACAGTAAGTACCTCATTAATCACATAAGCATGAATGAGGCAACCATGGCTTGTTTGATCAGACTGCAGCATATAAATAAACAGTCTCAGCTATTTCCATTGGATTACAAACATTGTAACTTACTGCCTAAACTACTAATGAATTAAATTATGACAGACTCACACAGGTAAACAAGTCTGTGCAAACACATTGCTGAGCTCACGCATGCAAAGTAAATTGTAATCTTATGGGATAACAAATGGAGAAAGGCCCACAATGACCAACAACTGTCTTGTTTTATCCACATGTTGACCTTGTGGGAGTTCAGGGACATTATTGTCTACTGTATGTGCGTGTCCATTTCCATTTGTTAATCCTAGAACAGAGCTAGGAGAGTACGGGAAACATCTGTATGTCTGTTTTGCCTCCAGTGGCAGCTTTGTGGGTGTGTGAGCAGAGCAAAATATTGAAACCCTGATCTAACAGTGTTTATTGTTTACACTGTGAGTGTTTCCATCCGTGCCAGTGCAGTCCTCACTGAGAGCTGTTATTATATTTGCAGCCTATTCAGTCTGTACAGCCAGCAATCAGGGTTCCATGGTAGGCTGCATGCTGCAGCAGGAGTCCAACATCAAGCAGACTTATTGGGCCTTAGGCTGCCCTGCAAAATCTCCATTTCATGAACACCCACTCTATAAATACTATTGATTTTCACACTGTTTTTTTTTACACTTGTATCTAGTGTATTGTGTGCATTCTGTCAAAGGGATGACTGGTAATGAATAATAATGCAAAGCTATGGGAAGATGGCTGGAGATTTTTTCCGATCTGGTTCAAATAGTGGCTGCTAGTCAGGACACCGACTGAGAGTGACTGCAGCCACACTGTATGACTGAAAAGATGAGGCTGAGTGGCCTGAATCAGCTGAATACTATATCCTACCAAAATTATTCTCTCTGCTTACAGACAGAGCAAGCAATTACACTGCTGAATATTCCTTAAATGACTGTATAAGTGATTTAGCTTGAACTGAAGATGTCAACCTTTATTACCTAAGTGGAATTCACAATTATTTTAGCAGTAAATATTTAATTCTGCTTTTCAGCAAATTTGCATAATCAGGGTTTAGGACTATGCCACTGTTGAGTCACAGACTGTTGCATTAGTTGCCACCATGGTCTCTAAATATTATAGATACACAAGATCATTAGCAGTGACCCGATACAGTAGGCAAGTGTTTTTCATTTGTGTTTATTTGTGCTTTTGTCTGAGGCAGCCTAGCTCAAGTCCCCATTAATCACAACTCACATGGTGAAGTCTCAAGAGAGTACAGCATCACATGGGGCAAACAAAACAAGCCAAGATTTCATTCCCAATTAAAAAAAAAAGTCTTCTGTTTAGATTCTAGTTAAATTTCTCTTCAGGAATAAATCACAAGAAACCACCTTTCAGCTGAGTAAACACTTCATAGTGCTTTGCTAAGATACTCACCAGGATTTGTAGCAGTGAGGTGCCAGGGGCTGTGTTTTCAGGAATACTGATGTTGTACAGCGGTGTGCTGAAGATAGGCCTGTTATCATTCTCATTGATAAGCTCAATAATGACACGGGCAAATCCTACATGGTCAGACATGGACTCATTAGCATAGAGCTGAGGAGAGACAACAAGAAACACATAAAATATTTAAATGGGCCCTCAAAAATATAATTTAAAGAAGTGCAGATTCAAAAATTTATTTATTTATATAAAATCTTTCACATATTCAGGAGGCATCTTGATATATATAATTTACTATTTTATCAAAGGAGTATCTTTCACAAAGAAATGCCTTGTTAAAGATTTAGAGATTATACACAGAACAAGGCACCCTCTGGTTCTGTATATGACTCAAGTGTAAGGTGAGGTCACAAATCACCAATTTCACTGTTCAAACAAGGCTTGAGAAAGTGATACGGCCCCAGTCTGACTGAGCCTGGTGTCCAAACTAATAAAAACAAGTTGTAAGAAACAAAGAAGCCACATTTAGTCTTGCTGATCAGAAATCAATGCAGAATATGTTCAAGGGTCATCTATCAGAAGGACAATGTAGCTGCTCTGTCTCCAACGACTCGTCTCTTTACAAAACAGATCCGTTGGACATTTACAATGAAAGAATGTTAAGCTCTTCTGTAAGCACCAACATTTTTACATATATTAGCAAGAAAGCTGTGGCTTGTGCAGGAAAGGCATGCTATTGTATCTTTGCTTCTGAACCCTGATTATGTTTTCATTCATTCAGTTCTCCTCTCATATCATGTGATTCTTTTCAGGGGTTCTTCGGGATTGGAGTTCAACCATTCACTCTCTCATGCAAATGTTCAGATGAACACTGATGGTAACTTTAAAACTCACAGAGAAACTGAAGCTGCGAATTTCTTCGTAGTCAAGAGGCATCGCCACCCTTATCCTGATGTCAGCACGCCCCTGTACTGCTGTGGGGGAGATGGTGAAGTACTCTGAACTGTTTCCTGTTAGAAATACTTGGAACATGCTGTTCACCCCCTGCCGTAGGAAAGATGAGAGAGAGACAAGTACAGAAAAACAGAGGAACTTGTTGGCAAAGATTAAGGGCAGGTGACATATAATATCTAACCTATCAGTGAAGAATGTAGATGATAAAATCTATGGTGTTATGAACAACTCATTAAAACCCCAGATTTACATTAAAACATACTTTTTTTTTTTTTACATTTTAAGAATTAAGAAGATCGTTGTATCCCGAGTTATTTACACCGACAGTAACAGTAGAAACAGTTTCAAAGATTTCAAACTGCTTTAGTGTGGCATATTATTACTGGATTATGTATATTTGTTAAGATATTGATACATTTTATATTCTTATACAGAATAAAACATGTATATTCTTAAGATTTTGTGATCCAAACAGGCAAGAAAGTTGTGCTACTCTACCATATATACCTGAATGTGAATTTTCCAGACTAGTATCTACATGTGACACCTGTATTATTTAACAAAAAGCAGTTGACAGTAAATGATGTCCATTCTGATTCTGATCATGAGGCTTCAAAAGTGGCATCTGCTGGGAGCCAGATCCATTCACTCTAATCTGTTGAGTTCAAGATGTTTCTTCTCTATATCTCTCTCTGTATCTTTTTGTAACATCTCTCTTCTTGTCTTTCACTAGCTTTCTGTACAGTTACCTACTGTAGCACCATCTGGTCTCTGTCTTTTCACAGCTGTTTTTCTTTCAGATCTTAGTGTCAGAGGTCAAAGTATATTAAAATGTGGCACCAGAATTTTGAGTACTATGCACACATACTGGACATGCTGTACCATCAGCTGATAATAAGTTCAAGACAATATAAATATTGCCTTGGTATGCCAACAATTATAAAGCCCCCCCGTTTAGTAATTTGAAGGTGAAAAGGCTCTTGGTGGTACTGGGAACATAAACCTTAAGAGAATATAGTTTCAGGGTCCACTACACATTTAGCATAGAGAGCAGCACTTTGCAGGAAAAGGAGACAGAAGCAAGCCAATAAGTAAAACCATCAAAATGTGTCGTAAAATGAATATGACAAAGTTAAACTGCATAGGAATCAAATTACAGTTCATAACCACACATTTGTCTCTTCTTCACGTTCACCAGATAAACCCTTCACTGCACATTTTCACATTATGAAAATAGCACCATCCTGATGCACTGTGCACAGAGTGGTACACAGCATGTCTGACTGGGATGTTCACCTAGCCTGTGAAGAAGGCTGACAACATGCTTTCATCATGATGATGTGTGCCTTATGAGAGGAACAGAGCAGATGATGTGATGATCCCTGATGACAACCATGACTATCTACCTTAATACAGATACACAGGTCTGTGCTTGGTTTATAGCTTGTTGTTGGCAAGACCATGTTAGCTTAACAAGTCTACTTTAGAAATATGTAGTACTGTATTACTGGGTGGGTCTGTGTGGTGAGGTTAGCATTGTTTGATGAGTTCTGGATAGCCTCTAAAAACAGCACCTACAAACCGGATCTGTCTCTTACTTCTCTTCTTTTAGATAAATCCCCAAGCCAAAGGCATGATGGGTAAATATAAACCACATCAGGGTCAAAGCTACATCACAACTCTGAAAAGCCTGTGGCTGGCTTGAGTTGAGAAAACATATCTGATCCTCCTGTCTTGACATATAAAGCTGCAGGGCAGCCAATCACGTAACCACTGTGGCAGACAGAGGAAGACGGATGGGGTGGTCGACAGGCATTATGCTGCCGGTTGAAATTGCCTCCTTGTTTTTGTTTTCATCTCTGGGAGAACCATTGCGGATGATGACTCCTATTTAAAAGACCATCCAATATGCAGGGATGTCACCTCAAACTGCCCATAAATGTAATTGCCCGTCCATTTGCTTCTGCCTTTAGAAGCCCCCAGTAAAAGCACCCTGTCAGACGCAACTGTCACAAAGTTTAGTGACAAGTTCCAGCAAAAAAGTTTTAAAGATACTAGCTACACAGAAGAGGATATAAAGGTAGGCATAGACGGAGAGAGGTAACTACCAATTGTGTCATAGTCTAAGTCATGAAATTTCTGCCTCTAATCCTTCACACTTGGAAAAAGTGAGATTATAGCACAGGTGTAGTAGAGTGTGGATGTGTGTGTGTATCAGCACTGACATGCAGGTTTAAAGGATCAAACAGTAATACAAAACTGCATGACAAGAAATGGCTCCAATTTTATTCCTAGGAATGGATGTATATCTGGCACTGTGACAGCAGTGTTATAATGCGTGACTGGGAGAGTGCATGCAATTCCTAAATTCTTTGGTGAATATAGTTCATTTGCATTGAGCAATCTTAGCTTAGAGATGCTGGAACTGTAAGCAGCTGGGTTACCTTCCCAAACTGTGTTGTTAGTGGTAAAATGTTGGGTACTAACATACAGAGGGACATGCCAGGTGTCTTGGTTGCCACCCCACCTGCATGCAGTGACAAGCGTGCGGTACTCCCATCTCTGTCTCGTCACTTCCACACACCATCCTTGGAGTATTAAACACACTTGCTGCTAAATACACCTGCAATCTGTCCTTTAAGTGCTTCTTTTCTCTCCTGTCTGCTCTTCTCTGTTTCTTCCTGCTCTACCAATTATTTAGGCTTCTGTTTTGCTTCATTATAAGCATTATAAGCTTTCTGTTCACCCATTTTTCTTAGGCGCCACTCTGCTCCTCTCCTCTGTCTCTTTGCTCTCTACCTTTTTCTCTATCCTCTTGACTTCCAGTTATCTGTCAAATTCCACCCTGGTGGCTGCTGTGCCTGAATCAATCAGAGTTGACTAGCTTTCAGCTTATCTGCACGTAGGTGATTGATTTTCCTCGTTAGGTATAATTTGATGCTCTATCCCATCTCTTCCAGAGCAAATTAAATTGTAGTCGAGTCCAATGTGCTGGTGTCTGTGAGCACATTGCACATGTGAGGGAGGGAGACAGAAAGTGAGAGAGGGTGGCAGAGCAAGCGTAAAGTGAAATACCATTTGAGTTCTGTGTGTGTGTGTGTGTGTGTGTGTGTGTGTGTGTGTGTGTGTGTGTGTGTGTGTTGGTGTCTGAGTGTGTGGGACTATGTGCCACTACAGTAGGTTGATAGATACAGCTAATGGGAAGTGACAGACACAATAAAGCACACTAATGTGTGCGGCTGTACACTTCTTCCGACAGTCCACACGCACACTGCTGCTAGGTGAGTAGTTTCATCGAGAGACTAATGTTCTTTTGCCACATTTATAAACAAGATAAATCTAAACCTTGTTGTAAAATCTTATCAGATCAAATCAGTGAAACATTCTTGCAAGTCTTTTACTGATAAATCCTTTATTGGTATCTTGTGTTGTTACCTCCTGAATCCCAACAAACATTGTGTTGTTCATTAATAGCAATAATAACTTAATTTGTGAGACTCAATTTGTCTTTTTACCACAATTCCAATCAAATACATATAAAAGGTACACAATTATTAAGTTTATCATCTTAAATGGCCAATACATATAATGTGAATGAAAGTTTACCTGGATAATGTAACTCCTGACATAGACAAAAGGCGATCAGCTACAACCAGATTGAGACATCTCTACAAGCAATCACAAGATACCCTGGCAGTGTCAGTGCAACCTTCTCTGGATGGGAGTATCAGCCTAATGTCAAAAATGTTGTGACCAGTTGCAGGTGTGTCAGCCATTGGGATGTGATCCACCCACCTCATCCTTGTCTTCGACCTGGATGAAGAGGGGCAGGGCAAAGCCCACCTGAGCCAGTTCAGTGATGCGGACTCGGTACTCAGAACTGTTGAACTTTGGAGCATTGTCATTTTTGTCAATTAGCAGAATGGTGAAGGTGGTCATCACTGTTGCATCTGATGGAGTGCGATCATCTTTCAACTCTGTGGCCTTATATAGAGAAACAGAGAGACGCAGCAATCGCAGAGAGAGAGAGAGAGAGAGAGAGAGAGAGAGAGAGAGAGAGAGAGAGAGAGAGATACATTTGATTGCACTGAAAATGTCATTTTGGATGGAGGCAGTCAGCACACAATCTCAGGCAGGTATTTACAGCTGTTCATTTATTGGATCAAAAGGTACAGAGACGGACTCAAAGCAATCACAGAAATAGGCTCAAAGTCAGGCCAAGAGAGGGCCAGCACATGTATATCCACACACACACACACACACATACACACACACACGCACACACAATGAGATTTAGGAGAAAGGAGTCCCATTGAGAAGACACAATTACACAGGGTCTCAGTTTTGTGGCTGCCTGAGTAACGAAGATGTGATGCCTCTGAAATGAAAAAAAAATGGGAGAGAAAGATAGGAATGGGCAGCAGTGGTCTTTTATTGATGGAGGAGTGTCACAAGCAATAGGAGAAGAGGCTGAAACAACATTCTGGTCTCTGGGTAATCAAGGTAGTTTAGCCTCTTATGTCCCAATGCCACTGAATCATTTGACCTCCACCTTCATATGCTCAGCACTATCCAAGCTGTTTGAAGTTGAGAAATTAGTTGTATTACTATGGCACACCACAATCAATAGTAGCAGCACCAAAGAAAGCATAAGCAGAGCAAGAGAGAGAAATGTAGAGGGAAAAAAATCCATATTTTATAAATACATTTTTGGGAGACATTTTTTTGTTTTCAGCACTTTTGCTTATTCTACCTTTCTTCGTTGTAATTATTGATTTTAATTAAAAAGACTCAGATTGGGATATGCTGCAACATGCCAGAATCTCTTTTGTATTAAACTTTAAAGCCAGTTGTATTTCAATGGTTTCTCACGAAAACCTGCATTTGCATCTACATTTTAACAATAACTACAACTAAATGAGTAAATATATAAGTTCTAATGAGAACATTAGATATTCTTAATGGCAGTACAGGTGCAAATGATTTGACTTGACACGCCATCAGTCCACAATGTTACATTGGAGTTGCACAGGAAAAAAAAAACAAAAACAAAAAAGCCCCCACAAGGTTTTTGATCACAAATCCTTCCATTTTCAGCACTTGGAAATCCATTTCATGCACCCGCTCACACCCTGTGGGAACTACTTGGTGTACAATACTGGGAGAGAAGAAATGATGGCAAAAAAAGGAAAGTAGCAGAGTGGACAAGGTGGGAAGGCTGTGGGTGGGAGAGGGGGTGAGAGGCCTGGACTGACATGCTAAAAAGCCAAGAGAGGTGTAGGCTTCGGCCTCAGTGGAGGGACAGGACCTGCTTCAAACAGAAGAAAGAAGAGAGAAGAAGAAAGGAGCCCGCAGTACTGAGGGCGACTATAAATCCTGTTTCTGTTCTCTTCTTGTTCTCCTCAAACCACTGATGGAGACATTATCAGAGAATCACAAACAGAAAAGACCTCACTGACAAGCCCAATAAAGGTACTTGAAATTGCCTGATTTACGTTGGTGTAGACTTATACTGACAAGGCATCTACAGACACACAGTTTGTACAGTAGGCACAAGGGTAGAGCACGCACTCGATTTAGGAAGCCCATAGAGGCTATATCAAACTCAGATGTTGTTTTGATTTAATGCACTCATATCAACACTCTCCCTTGATCCACCAATAAATCAGCCTTTCAATCCTTTGTCTCAGTTGCAACAGTCCCTCCAGCTCCCCACTGTTTCCCATTCAGAAGCCCACCTTGACAGTGAGAGTGAATCCTGCTGAGTAGAGTGGGTTTTCTCTGTCCAACTGGCCATTTACTGTGAGGGACCCGCTGATGTAGTCCAGGGCAAAAACACTGTTGGTGTTCCCTGAATGGATGGATGGAAAGAGAAAGAGAGATGGAGATAAGAAAGTCAGAGGGACACACACAGCTTGCACTGTGGATAATTCAACATAACCCCTGCGCTGCATCACAGACGTTTCTGTAAGGAAAGGCTGTGTACAATCTATGTGCATGTCTATATTTTGTGTATTATGGATGCAGTTTTGCTGCCCTGGGCTTATCCACCATCTCCAACCTATTCACAAGCTGCTTCGCTGCCTCCTCTTTATTTCATCTGATTTTCCTTGCCAGCATCCCCATGCTGTTCACTTCTTTACCGGATGGACACTGGGGTTATGGTGTAACTGGAGTTACACCAGTTCACATTAACTGAATTTAGAGTTATAATATATTATACTGTATTAATTAGAGGTCAGTTGTAATAATGGCAACATATCATTGTCATTAATTGTGAGTATGTCAGAAAATCCCATGAAACACATACTCACCAGCACAAAACTTAAATGTGCCCTGTAGAGTTTTTGACCAACAGTTCTGTCATGGTGCAAAGTTTTCTAAATGGATGTTTGTATTGTCTGCCATGTGCAAGCATGCACACAACAGAACACACAATCTTGCCAGTGGTTTCATGTTATTTTGCTGATTAACAGTTGTTGGTGGTAAAGCACAAATAATCACACCAATGTGCAGATAAAGTCAGTGGAGAAGACGACTGCTACAGTAGCAAGCGGATGAAAATGAGCTTTTAGCTATATCTGGTATAAAACGTGTATTGTGCATTGTCCCTGTCAAGCAAAAACTGTAGATACTGTAGATGTCAACAATGTAGGATGTAAAACATTTCAACAATTGGCTTTAAAAAGTTTTACAAGAAAGGAAACCTCAGTAGAGCACCTTTAATGAGATATTCATTCCTATAATTAGATAATAATCAATTTCTACAATTCGCTAAATAATCTAACCTGCATATTTCTGGACCGTAGGAAACCAGGAACCCATACAGGCATGGGGAGAACACACAGACACTCACAGAAGGCCCACGCCTCAAACAGAGAACCTTCTTGCTGTGAGGCAACAGTGTAACCACTGCATAGCAGAACGAGGAAAAAAAGTCTCACCCCTAATTCTGAAAATGCAGCCAAGTGTTTAACACTCAAGACAATGCAGTTGCACACAGGCTGCACATTTCCCCTGAACTTTCATCCTTTACAGTACATGGGCTGATGAATTCCATTAACTTTGTTATAGTCTATGAACCCCTTCAAAGCACAGCATTCCAAATTATGAACGCCACACTGTTCTCATTAACAAGTTCAAGTGTGCCTGGTCTTTTCTATTCACTTCAATTAAGCAGGTTAAAATAATATACTGAGATGCATTTGAGTACTGTTCTCATATTTTCTTATTCCCTCTTCTCATTTTCAAATCATGGTCCTTGTTGACTTTCTCACCCCTCTCCATTCTTCGACACCCCCTGGGCATCTTGTGACTGTTGCCTGCTAATTACACCCAGCAGATGGAGACAACAAACAAAAATACACTCTCACCTCTCTGCTGTTAAGGTTTTCTTCCTCTCCCCCTGCATCACTTGGTGATTCACCGTCCTATCCATCAGCTCTAATCATTTCTCATCAAAAACACTGAATAACTTCACAGTTTCACTGCCATTCTTTGTAACCTGCCATGTGTTTTTAGAAGACTGACTAGTCTACTAGGAACTAATTCACTTATGTCTCGTTAATACAGATTGCTCTTACTGTACCAGTTGACAGCACAGCAACTCTGCCACAGAGTGTATCAAACGTGCTCTGTGAATTGCTCCCTGTAGGTATGTATGTAGATGGACGGACACACAGATAAAACAACAATCATGTAAAAAATAAATTAAATAAATAAAAGTTCAATAATGTAGCCCAGCCTACCAAAATTTATAGGCCAAATAAATAAATAACTGTTAAACTATATATTATCTGTTTTATTATTTATTTTATGCCATGCCATTTCATTTTATTTGCAGAATTAAAATGTAATTTCCTAGTTCATTTAAAAGCTTTAAAAGTATAGCAGAAAAAAATCCTTGTCTGTGCACCTGCACATAGTTTGTTGTGTACATGCCAGAAGCGTGGTCAGTTGTACTATCTAACCTTGGAGGACATCAGACTGTCAACCTAGGCCTTCCTTATTTGCAACTGGCTGTCTGTTCATCAACATCAATCCGAGTAGTGCTAAGGTGGGATAACCAGGATACCCCATAGCCGGGCATGTAAGCTGCAGAGAGCAGACAGGCAAGAGCATGAGAGTAAAACTACTGGAGGATTTTTCTCATTTCCTGGTGAATGCAGAGTTTGCCGCTGTGTAATGGGAGATTTCTGAGGTTTCTGAAGGCAAGCGCTTTGTGATGACATGTTGAGCTGTCTCAGAAAGTGTAATACAGAGGTGTACAAGATCACTAATAGCATGTTAGCATTCACTGTAATGGTGTTGCTATATCACTTGCTAAGTGATGCTAAAGTACCTGGCTAACTAATTCTATTGTATGCTGTTAATGTAAGCTAAATGCAAAATTAATTGAGCTTGGCATGAGTTTGTTGAAGAGCCTTTTAGCTGAGAAAGCTGACATTGTGAGTGCTCATTGAAGGACCAGAAGACATTCCTTGTATTTTTTATTTATTTTTTTATTCCCATCCAGAGCACAACCTGGAGTTCAGCTACAGTACGTTGCCGCCTGCCTACTGTGTGTGTTCCCCCTCATCTCATGTATGCTACATGGGAGCTGCGTGTGCAAATATTCAGCATTGAGTGTGCAGTTATGCATGTGTGAACTGAGTGTGTAAACAGTATGGGTGGAATTATTAAAAGGTACAACAACTGCTGCTTTCGGGCTTTACTTAAAAAATTATGTAAATATAATATAAATGCACAGTTTTGAGATATTGTTTCACATTCTCTGGTTTCCTCTTTTCTGATAAATTTCTTTGTAAAAAACTGTGACTATACATCCATTTTCCTTTTCTGACATGGGGTGATAAAGACTGACTTCTTTAAATATGAACATTTCAACAAAGTTTTTTCTCCTATGTGTAGTCACTTTTATAAATTTGACAATGTAACAAATTCAAAGTGCCTCCAAAAAGCATGTTAACTGAATACACGTGTATTTTCAGATTCGATTTTTCTCAAAAAGGACACACTTTGAGTCTTGAAGTTGAATCAGTCTTTCAGGTGCTATAGTTTATAATAACAGCTGAGGTCTAGACTCTGGAGAAACATGTTCAGATGGTGAATCTATAGTGCACAACAGCTAGGGTCAACAGTTTAACCCATGCCTTTGTTCCTTACTCCCCACTTGCAGCTCTATTATTGCCCTGTACTGTACGTAGCCTGGGAATGAAGAGGAAGAAAGCTATAGAACAAAGAGAACAGAGGGGGCATAGAGAAAAGGAGTCAGGCCAGCAGAGAGAGAAGAGCCCTTGTGTAATTAGTCTGGATTGAGGCCAAAAGTTAAAGAGGGAGGAAGTTAGAAGGAACAAAACTACTGCTGGCTCTATAATAATGTTATATGAGCTTCTCATTTGCTTGAGATGGACAGAAATTATAATTCTGTAGTTGTTGAGGCCTTTGTCCCTTGAAGGTGAATATATGCTGCCTTTGGCTATTTGCTGAAAATACTTGCTCTCATTTTTCTTTGGATAAGAGTTTCAAATATGGGTAACAGAAAATAAACACTACAGAAACAGAAAGATGATGAAACACAGGGTCAATAACATTAAATGTTCCCTTGCAAAAAGACAACCCTATATTATTAATGTAATACACCAAGTCGCCTAATAGTCAGAGATGCTTAACAGTGCACAGTACAGTATATATCACTGCAAGACTCAAATTATGGGGGAGAACGTATCATTCTGAGTCATGCATCAGTGAAAATAAGCTGACACACCATTCATTTTTTTTTTTTTTTTTTTTTTTTTTTACCTGGGGCAGGCATGAGCTTGATGTTTATACCGAACAGGGTGGGGGTAACGTGTTTCAGGGACTCAGACCCACTCAGTGTGGGCATCATGGCTCTAAATTGGTTTGTTAGCTTCAGTGGCCTGACTAGAATGCCAATCTACTCCAACAGCCGCTCCTTACCCAGGCGACTGGGCACTCATCTGGCCAAGCAACGACTGGCCACACGCATCTGCAAAAGCACACAAGTGGTGCACTGTACTGTAGATGTGCATGCTAGCAGCAGACTGTTGGTTCTACTCTCTGTATCCAGAGAGCTTTGACTCACTGCTTCAGGTTTCTCTGAACGGCCCTCAACCTCAGCTCCGCTGTGTGTCAAGCTTGACCCAAGAGACAGATTGAAATTACACAGTGACTCACAGGTCCCACTGAGAGAGAAAATATTATCATATTATAATTGCTGATAGAAAGTGTTCTCCAGTGATCTGCCAGAGTAGTGATTAGACACCCAGGGTTTCAAGATTGCACAATAAAATTCAGCACAAATAAATGCACACTTTCTATTTGCATTTGATATTCATAATTAGTGGTGCTGTTTATGTATTTTATGTGCTTGCTGATGTGTAGGTATTTCAATCCAGAATTCTTATGTGGATAGAGTGCAAGATTAAGTGTGTGTGTGTGAGAGTGTGTGCCAGAGTGCTAACTGGCAAAGCCTGATTCCATGATGTGAGACTCCAGGGGATTAGCCATGCTCTCACATTATCGACAGTACTGGACTGGAAAATGAGAAACCATGCCACGATTTTGTTTAGAGTGGAGTGCATAGTCAGATGCATGCGTGTGCACACACACATACACACACACACGCACCTAAATAAATGCCCAGAAGTAAGCACACACTCTCAAACTCCTACAAAGAGCTATCATTTCCTTGTGGTGCAAATTTTGCATATGCACATGCACAATAGCTTCAATAGCTACTACAAGATAGAAGTAATCCAAATAATTTGCCACTTTGAATAATCTCAGTATTACCAAAGCATAATGAAATACATGGCTCCGGATTTCATA